ATGCGCTGGTGCGTGAAATTTTTAACTGTTTTCCAGTGTTTGAACTATTTTTGCATGGACTAAAGTGCAAAGCAGTGAAAATCATTAATAGGCAATCGTTTGATGGGCTGAATTGCACAAAACGCGTGATCGCACAGGCTAGTCTGGTGCGCGTTGCTAGTTATTCTTCTGCTCGCTGTATTTCTCTACATCGTGCAATTACAAATGTTTCAGTGGCAGTATGGATTCGAGCGTACCACCGTGAAAAGAGGCCTGCGAAAGCTCAATAAATTGTTCATTTATCAAAGTATGCAACGTGAAGATGCACCAAAACTCGAGAGATTTGTTAGTTTTTTCTACTGCCTTCACCTGCAACTGTAAATTCCATTGGCCTCAAAAATGAAAAATTTTCGAAGTTTGGTATTCCCAAGATCCTCTTATAATTGTAATTTTAATTTTAGATAATGTGTGTTTATGTAAAAAGTAAGGGTTAAAAAGAAAGGGATGAAAGGAAGGTGAATAAATCGATTTAAAAAACCTGAATAGGAATGTTTCGGTCCATTAAGTCGCATACATTAAATTAGCGATGAGAGGCACTTCCTTGTTTCCTTGATTCGCAAAACTGCAGTAGTTGTTAGGCGAGGAGATTTAATTTTAATGGACCTGTTGCATCTTGACTCCCTCCTAGGTAAGCTGTGTAATGTCGCAAAAGCGGCCTATATAAAGTCGCCGTGTCAGTATTGTAAAGCAATGTCGACCCAGTTGGGTGTTGCGGAATTGTGGAGGCGACCCAGACGACTCACGAAGGACGTGGACCCCGCCACTACCCCGAACTATTGCTAAGAAGCCGACGACCCAACTCGACAAGCCAGAGCACCGGGGCAGTCGACGAGCCACCTAGCCACCAATCCCAGTAAACCCAACAGACCGAAACATTCCAATTCAGTTTTTTGCTCTTAATTATTATTTTCTTTTTAGTTTACAACCTTTTTTATAACTTCGTAAAATATACAAATTTTTTTTGGGAAATTTCATATTTCAGGCGTTCTTATCCCAGTTTGTGTTGTCCTCAGGTTTCCGATTAGTGCTGTTTTGCACCTTTACTTACAGGCGACTTTTTGGAAAGCCATTCGCTTGTTTCGCTTTTCTTATCGCGAGTACCATTCGTTGTACCAATTTCCAGTAATACGACCAGCATATTTCTTTTGCCCGTGGAATTCCCTTTTTTTTTCCAAATTTACCGAGACTGCCCGGGCAACCGGTGTGGTGAATCAGTGTTAATGATGTTACTGGAATGCTTCCACATGTCGACGTAGCTGTACTTTTCCACAGCAGTTGAATGAGGGATGTATTTTTGTAACTAATGCCTCTTCTGACCGTTTCCAGATAATCCAGTAAAGCTTTCAAGAGTTCTGTTGCTTCCCGCATGCAGTGGAAAGGGCGTTGGATGGGATGATTGTGCTGCATTATACGGCCCCATGGGCCTCATAAAGTCGAATGAACAAAAACGCAGATGCGAACTCTCCAATACCAATATCCAGAACTTTGTAGAAATTGAGGGACAACATTGCCTGGGTGCGCAGAATAGAGTTCACGTTGCTGGGAAATTTGATTCTGCTGGGAAATTGTTGGGAAATTTGATGGGAAATACTAGGAATTTTATGCTGGGAAATTCGATCCTGCCTAAGCAAATTTTTTAACAAAAAAGATGCATTAAAATGTTAAAATCTCCCCTCCTCATATATCTACTGCGAGGAGCAGTGGAGGAGGAATTAGTTCTAGTTGTAGTAAATGCCAGAAGTAATTACTTGCCGATAAGGCTGTCGGTGTGTCTTCCTTTCAAGGGGTTTTCAGAAGCAAGCAGATGACGGTTTCAGTTCCTTGGCATGCATCAGTACCAATTTACCATCGAAACGAATTAATAAATTTGTAAAAAGAGCAATCTTTATATTGAACTGCAATCTTTCTATCTTTTATTTATATATGTATATGTATAAATAAACAGAATCATTTTTCTTATAGCACTCTTTGTATTGAAAGGGTTGTTTTTTGTGTAAGAAATACAAGTATTTGTCAGTTTACATAATATTTGCCTGCGGCTGTTCATATTTTGCGAATTTTCAACTTTCTGAAACTGAGATTTTACCTTAACTTTTTTCCCACTTTACAGCATGCGGCACAACGTGTGGAAGCAGCGTTGGCCGAATATCATTTTGATTATCCAGCTTTCCGGAATATGTTATCGAAGGCACACATTGAGCTGGATAATATAGTTCTTTCTCAACTCGCAATATACGAACCCCAGTCGTTCAAGGTAAGCTTTTGGTGCCATTTTTCTTGGCTTCTTTAAGACGTGCGCAGTCATTCCGCTTACTGAGGTTCGTATATTGAGGTTTTACTGAGGTCTTTCCACGGTCTTTCTGCTCTATCTCCGCACTCATCTATCGCAGTAACGAAAGTCAGTGCTGAAGGATGCATCTGTCAGGATAGCGAGCCAAGGCTTTCGTAATCAACTGTGCATTGACCCTCGGTGATTCATGCCGCTCAGTTGTGGTCGACTAGTGCTACCCGCTCGTCCGACCATGCACACTATTAAGGCCTTTCCACTTATTGGTGATTATTATTGTTCTTGTTCGTCTCGTTGTTCCCCACCGTAATCGCCGCTTTACCATAAATGAATTCAACGCAGTTGTTTGGATTGCTCTTTTAGTAACTCTTGTCACCCAAAGTTTTAGTTCGATGCTTCGCCAATCGTTTTTTCTTGGTTCTTTTTTGTCGCTTTATCATTACTAGGTAAGTTTTTCATTGCAGAGTTTGGTTATGTTGACGAAACAGATGGCACAGGAAGACGGACGTGCCGTGATCGTTGATGAGGAGCAGAAAAATGTCCAAACCGATCCGTCATTATTTGGCACCCCGTTTCCCCGCTCAAAGATGTATCCTCGCGGTGCTGCTAAAAATCACCAGAAGCGTCCAAGACCACTCAAAATTACAGAATTCTGACACCGTAAGTTATGGCCAGTTCAGCTTACCGTGGCAGATCTTAGCGTTGTTCGATTGTTGTTTGAATTTGCCAAGAGCGAGATGTAATTTCGATGATTTGTTAGAAAAAGAGTTAGTGAGAGATTTTTCCCCCCTTTGTTTTTTTGTGTTTTTATATTACTTTCTCTTTTAAATATAAAAAACGCAAAATTTTCTGGAGTGGAAAAGGGAATTTCGATCCCTGTAACATTGATTGGTCGAGAAAGTTGGTGCTTTGCCAGTCGTTTTTTCTTGGTCCCTTGCTCATCCGTCGCTTCACGCCAGTTTTCATTGGGGCTCTTTTGCGATTGACGATTCTTTCCACAACGGTTTCTTATTTCTGCTCTTCCTTTGCTCGCTCCTACCCCGGAAACTGCTTTATAGCATGGGTCGGACAAGAAGTGGGTTTTATATGGGGAAAAAATAGGGTGGTTGGTCGGAAAAATTCAGTTTGTTGCACTGACAGTAACAAAAACTGGGCTTGGTGGCAAGATGCCTGCCCAGCGTGGTCCATCTCCGGTCAACGGCAGTGTGTACAGTATGTCTACATCCCTAAATTATCATTATTACTGATGTCAAGGTCCTTTTATACTTATTGATTTGAACTTTCTTGACCCTTCTCGAATGTCTAGGATCAATTGATTGAAGCATTCGATAGCCTTAAAGCTATACTGTTCTGGCTTCTATGTTTGGTGAATAACAGGAATTTTGGAAGACCTGGTTCCCACTGGGTATGGCTTACAGGATTTTCATCGAAACAATTGGGTAGTACATTCGATTGGCTTCCTTTACAATTAAGGTTAGTGGCGAAGGGTTGGGGGAGGGGAGGTTGGGAGGTGAATTCGAGGCATCCTCTCTGACTTTTTTTGTAGCTTTGCACTTTTAGCAATTTATACTGCATCAGTTTTTATCTATTAATTACCCATGATATATGTGTTCCTGCGGATTCGGTTTCGATCAGACGCCTCGGTGTTATATTGAGGTCTCTGTGGTCTTGCCATTCACTGGTTCGGGTCAAATCCGGCGTACAGTTTAGCATATGTTAGTTTTGTTAAGTTTTCCTTTTCACGAACATTTCAGTGATGGAGGGAGGTCAAAGCTGACTTGGAAAATTAGCCACATAAATTATCTGATTGGCATCATTCTAATATTTCTCTGCGTTCAGCACTAAATCGCTTATAGATTCCTGAGATGCAATTATTGAAGCGATGATGGAACATAAACCGCCGGGCAGTCGATTGGGTTTTCATTTTAGCGACGTTACTGAAATTCTCCATATGTCGGACCAACCACATTAGGCGCATGAGCTGAAGCCTGCAGTTTGTCCCTCCGCTTGCTTAATGTATCTACTACGCAAGACATCCCGAATGACTGTTTACTTTCTCGACAGTGTGCATCTCCACTGGTTTCCATCAAAGTGAGCGACTTGCCTTGCATACCAGACTTTACTTTTTCGCGTGTTCGCGGTGATGTCCTGCATGCTGATCATCTGATGTAAGGTTTAATGTAGCACAGGCCTACATTTAGACTAGTGTGCGTAAGCGAGAGAATCCACGCGAAAATGAAAAAGAATTAAGAGAGAACAATGAAACTGAGGCAGCAATGCACCAGCCGTGCCGGTGCGATCATGCGTTTTTGGCTAAAGTTGCAGATCGTTAACAGCAGGGACGGTTTCTACGCTGTAGTGTAATACTTGCACTGGTATTGGTTATATTTTGGTGTCACCACACGCCAGAAAAAGAGCGTTGACTGGGATGAAGATGTTGCCGGGGAAAATCGCCTCGAATGGAAACAAGAAACAAAGGAAGCAAAAGGAGATACATAAATTACATGAATTTGTGTTTTGCAGTACCGTAACTTCCTTTGTAATAACGGTACCGCCGTCAATCAGCGGCGCCAACATCAGTCATATATTCAGCTCTTTTTGTAAGCCGGATCCAGCTGGAACGAGGCTGAGCTCCAGATGGGCTTGGTATCCGATTTTTCCAGCAAATTTTTAATGTTAACATTTCTTTCTACACCGACTGAACGCCGTCTACCAACACCAGCACACCGACTAGACGCCGTCTGCCAAAATCAGCACGCCGTCCGCCTCAGACTTTACCTTCCACCATTTTTTTCTTTTCTTTACCTTCCACCATTTGCTGTCGCATAAATATACCAGTGTTACCTCTAGTTGACAAGAACAATTGAGATTAAACATAATAATGATGGAAAACTCCAGAGAAGTCAAGGTCGGAAAGAAGAAACTTGTGTTTTCACCACAGGTGTTGCGTTGTGGAGCTGCATGGACCTTCAGCGTGCATGTTTATCGATTTTTTGCG